CTTTTTTATCTCTCCTTGCTATTTTTTGGAACTCAGCATTCAAATGGGTATATCTTTCCTTTTCTCCTTTGCTTTTTACTTCTCTTCTTTTCACAGCTGTTTGTAAGGACTCCTCAGACAGCCATTTTGCTTTTTTGCATTTCTTTTTTTGGGGGATGATCTTGATCCCTGTCTCCTGTACAGTGTCACAAACCTCTGTCTACAGTTCATCAGGCACTCTGTCTGTCAGATCTAGTCCCTTAAATCTATTTCTCACTTCCACTGTATAATCATAAGGGATTTGATTTAGGTCATACCTGAATGGTCTAGTGGTTTTCCCCACTTTCTCCAATTTAAGTCTGAATTTGGCAGTAAGGAGTTCATGATCTGAGCCACAGTCAGCTCCTGATCTTGTTTTTGCTGACTGTATAGAGCTCCATCTTTTGCTGCCACTTTCTTTAATATAAGTCTGAATTTGGCAATGAGAAGTTCATGATCTGAGCCACAGTCAGCTCCTGGTCTTGTTTTTGCTGACTGTATAGAGCTTCTGCATCTTTGGCTGCAAAGAATATAATTAATCTGATTTCAGTGTTGACCATCTGGTGATGTCCATGTGTAGAGTCTTCTCTTGTGTTGTTGGAAGCGGGTGTTTCCTATGACCAGGGCGTTCTCTTGGCAAAACTCTATTAGCCTTTGCCCTGCTTCATTCTGTACTCCGAGGCCAGATTTGCCTGTTACTCCAGGTGTTTCTCGACTTCCTACTTTTGCACTCTAGTCCCCTATAATGAAAAGGACATCTTTTGGGGTGTTAGTTCTAAAAGGTCTTGTAGGTCTTCACAGAACCGTTCAGCTTCAGCTCCTTCAGCATTACTGGTTGGGGCATAGGTTTGGATTACTGTGATGTTGGATGTTTTGCTTTGGAAACGACCAGAGATCATTCTGTTGTTTTTGAGATTGCATCCAAGTACTGCATTTCAGACTCTTTTGTTGACTATGATGGCTACTCCATTTCTTCTAAGGGATTCCTGCCCACAGTAATAGATATAATGGTCATCTGAGTTAAATTCACCCACTCCAGTCCATTTTACTTCACTGATTCCTAGAATGTCGACATTCGCTCTTGCCACCTCCTATTTGACCACTTCCAATTTGCCTTGATTCGTTAATGAGCAAGTGTAATTCCATTGCCATATGACAGCCCATGAAATATTTAAAGCCAGCTCACTTGCATTCCTTGGGTCTCTTTTTCTTCAAGGACAATACTCATTTCTCATGCTTTCCAGTCCCTTCACCATTCTGGTCACCCATTTGGAAGATGCTTTAGTCCGTGTAAGTCCTCAAGTGAGATATATTATTATCAGTCTGGTCAGCTACCATAGGATAGAATAGAACAATTATCTCTCTCAAACTAGAAATTGGACTATTAATATAGGCCAAAACTACATTTCCTTTTTGGCAGTTCTGTCACATCGTTATCATTTTTGTCTGCCCAGTGTTATGAGGATTTATTAAGTAGATTAATGAAATGCTTATTGTACAATCTCAAAATTTTTCATAGTATTGGTAATTTTCAGCTTCAACAGCTTAAATTATTTTTTGCTTTTTTTTTGCTAATCCCTAAATGGGTAATCTTCCCCCCATTAGCTTTTGCTGCCCCATGGAGTCGTTGAAAGAGTAGGGTTGATAACTGTTACAGTGTTTGTGTGTGTGTGTGTCTACAATAGGATATGTTTTCTGCCAAAGTACAGTAGATCTGACTGAGTTGACAAGACAAGATAGATTTTTGTTTTTCCCTTAATAATTATAAATATTTGCTGTGTACTGTGTGCCCAGTGGGCCTGCCTGGTGGCTCAGCAGTAAAGAATTCACCTGCCAATGCAGGAAATACAAGTTCAATCCCTGGGTCAGGAAGATTCCCTGGAGGGAGGAAATGGCAACCCACTCCAGTGTTCTTGCCTGGGAAATCCCATGGACAGAGGAGCCTGGTTGTTTATAGTCCATGGAATCCTGAAAGAGACACAACTTAGCGACTGAACAACAACAATGTGCCCAGTACTAGTGATATAAAAGTAAGATGTGTTCTCTGCCATGAGGAATTTTTAGCTTAGTAGGGAAATTTCAATAATGTGTATTAAATACTAGTTGTAGGCGTTAACACTATGCCCAAGTCATATCATGTCATCTAGGCTTGAGGAAAGCTTCTCCAAAAATGAGGTTATCTAATCTGAATTTGGGAGGATTTAAGGGACTTAGCTAGCCAATGAGGTGAAGTCATTTATACTAAAGTCCTGAGTTCAGATGCAGTATGACTACTAGAGATAGTAATTTAAGATATGAATATAGATAAGATCAGTAGGGATTGTATGTAGATTTTTTTAAGAAGTCAAGACCCTTAATCGTTTAAGAAATAGCTAAAAAGTGGGAACTTTGCCATTTAGTTTAGTTGTTTTATGTCTTCATTGATGATAAATCATTCAATATTTTTTGTAATCTACAAGCGAATATCCATTGTTTACACAGTGTGTGCATGCGTGCCCAGTTGCTTCAGCTATGTCCAGCTCTTTGCAGTACTAATGTGTATATTTTATTCCCCGTCTGAGTATTGTACGCTAAATCACTTCAGTCATATCCAAATCTTTGTGACCGTATGGACTGTAGCCTGCCAGGCTCCCCTGTCCATGGATTCTCCAGGCAAGAGTACTGGTGTGAATTGCCGTGCCCTTCTCCAGGGGTCTTCCTGACCCAGGGATCAAACCCACATCTCTTCGTCTTTCGCATTGGCAGGTGGGTTCTTTACCACTAGTGCCACCTGGGTATTGTGTGTCCCCAATTTTATAAATAATTATTTCTATTTTTCTAGTTAAATAATGTTGTCTTGGACGGTAACGAATCCACCTGCAATGCAGGAGACATAGGTTCAATCCCTTAGTTGGGAAGATACCGTGGAGGAGGGCATAGCAACCCACTCCAGTATTCTCGCCTGGAGAATCCCCATGGACAGGGGAGCCTGGCGGGCTGCAGTCCATAGGGTCTCAAAGAGTTGGACATGTCTGAGCAACGAAGCACTGCACAGCACAGTTAAATAATTTAGGTTTACTTTTTTTTCTTTACTGAACAGTTATTCAGTGACAATTATATACCTTCTAAAGGAAAACAATAATCATATGTTTTGTTATACCACTTTTAGCAAGCATTTTTATTTTTGCACATTAAGCTCTCTTCCTTGGCTACAACCATGCAGAGACTGTACGCCACACTAAAGGATCTCGTTCTTTCTCCCAGGAGCAATGAGAAACCACTAAAAGATTTTAAGTAGGGAAGTGACATAATCAGGTTTATATTGAATTTTTTGAAAAGGTCACTGCTAAATTGAAGGAAGATTAGAGTGGATGCAAAGAAGTAAGAGGAAATTGCAGTCATCTAGCAAGAGCTGTTGGTAGCAAACCTAAAGGAGAGACATTGGCATGGAGCAAAGTGAATTATAAAAATAGTTTGAAAATAAAACAGGATTTTAGGCATGGAGAGAAGGGTGTATTGGTGAGAGGGAGAGAAGAGGTATTAAGAATAAATTCCGATATTCTAAAAACTGAAACACATTTGATGGAAGAAAACATGAGTTCCTACATTCTATGTTGGACATATGGGATTTAAAGCACTTTAATGCTTCTGTATTTAATAGTAACAGACGCCTGAAAGTGACATAAAAGTCCATCTTGGGGAGAGGACTAAATATTGTAAATTATGAGACATAAATTTACTAGAATATTATGCCTCTTAAACATCATAGTTACAAGACTGTAATTCATGTGAGATTAAGTGGAAAAATTGGGATACAAAATTCAATAAAAATTGTAACCATCCTACTGTACAGCACAGGGAAGTATATTCAGTATCCTGTGATAAACCATGATGGAAAAGAATAGATACATGTTAACTGAATCACTTTGCTATGATCTTAATTGTGGCTCACAGGCTTAGTTGCTCTGCAGGATGTGGTATCTTCCCGGACCAGGGATCAAACCTGTGTCCCCTGCATTGGCAAGAAGATTCTTAGCCAGTGTAGCAAGAAGGTTTATAGACAAATTACCACATGGTATTTTAGATATGCCATAGGAGACTGTTTTAATAAACTGCCTTTACTGAATTATAATTTACATATCAATATGATAAAACAGACCCATTTTAAATGTGTATTTTAGTGATTTTTTTACAAATATATATACTCATGTAACCACCACAATAATCACGATATAAACCATTTCCAGCATCCCCCCTATATTTTCTCAGACCCAAATATTTCCTGGTCCCCAAAGACCTAACATCTTTCTGGCACTAGAATTTATAGTTTTGCTTTCTCCAGACTATCACATTAAGGCAGTCGTATCATATATACTTTTTACGTCTGACTTTTTTCACTTAATGTTTCTGAGATTCATGTTGTTGCCCATCTATCAGCAGTCCATTTCTTTTGTTGTTGAGTATTATCTCATTAGTGGACATACCATCTGTTTTTCCATTCACTGGTCGATGGACATTTGTGCCATTTCCAGTTTTTTATTTTTATGGAAAAACTGTCGTAAACATTATGTGTACATCTCTGTGTGAACATGTCATCTCTTATGGGTAATAAGCAGGAATGGAGTTGCTGATTCTTATAAGTGTTAGGTTTAACTTTATAAGAAACTGCCAAACTATTTTCCAAATTTTACCATTTCACACTGCCTCTAGCAATATAGGAATGTTTTATTTGCTCCACATTTTTTCAATACTTGGTATTGTATTTTTATTTCAGCTATTTTAGCAGGAATGTAGTGGTTTTTCAGTGTTTCAGGTTGCATTTTTTTGATGTTTAGTACCATTGAACACCTTTTCACAATCTTGTTGACCATTCATATATCTTCTTCGGAAGACATAGTTATTGTTCCACCTCATATCCTTGCTTTAAGGAGAAAAAATATAAAAGCATTTGAGTATGCTTAATATAGTAGAATTCTGACTGTAATTTTTTTTCTTTCTTACAGAAGAGGATAAATACAACATTTATTCTCCTTTGCTCTTCAAGTATTTCCTGGCAGAAGGAATTGTCAGTGGCCATGCTTTGTTGGTTGCATCTGCAAAAGAAGACCCTGCTGACATTTTACAGGTATAAAACATATTAATTCAAATATTACGTTTCATGAAAAAAATATTGCTTATGTATATGTAAGCAAGATATATATTTGTGTATGTGCAAACTGTATTTAAATATATTAATGGGACCTCACAAGTCTTTTTTTCTCTTAAAGAAATGTATCAGATTTATTTGAACATATGGTCTTACTTTTAGAGTCTTGAACAATTTTTTAACTTAAAATTTTTATCAGAGTGAGGAAATTTTAATAAGCTATTTAAAGCTGAAGGTAAATAAAATTATTATTAAGTGATGGTGTGAGAACTTAATAAACTAGCTAAATAAAGAAAAACAACTGCAAAATGTTGTCAGATTTTATGTTAACCAGTATTCCAAAGGTATAAGTTGGAAGGATGATACAGAAAGTAGAAGTATTCATTTATTAAAGTTACTTTGTTTTGAGAATGCCAGAAGTTATTTTCTTCTAAGAAATAAGCAATAATACTAAAATATCTGATTAAAATATTGAGTTGGCCAAAAAGTTCCTTTGGATTTTTCCATAAGATCTTAAGGAACTTTTTGGCCCACCCAGTACTATATCTTTTTGTCAGAGCATACTTTTCACCTCAGAAAAGGCAATTGTGACTTTTAAAATTCTTAATTTCTTTGTACAGAATGGGATCTCAGTTTTAAGCCATGCTTTGATTAGAATTCATAATCTAAAGTCATTTTTTTTCCTCAGAGGATATTTTAATTTCACTGTATAGTTTGCAAAATGGCAAATGAATAAGTCATTTATAAAAAATCTGTAGCATGACAAATACTAATTTATAATAACTATCAAGGGACGCCAACAAATTTCTACTCTCAAACATAAAAATTATTGTAATACTGAAGTCAAAACTAACATGGTTCTTTCCTATGGGTCAGACTTTGTTTATCAAATTAAAATAAATCCAGGAGAAATGGAAAAGGGCATGGCAGCCCACTCTGTATTGTTTCCTGGAGAATCCCCTTGGACAGAGATACCTGGTGGGCTACAGTCCTGGGGTTGCAAAGAGTCAGACACGACTGAGCAACTAACCACCAAAGAGAAACCCTTTGTATAATTTTCCAGATGATTCCCTTCTGATTGAAGAGCCTGTTTTCCTTCGTTCTTATTTCTACTGTTAACTCTTTGTGATATTTTCTTTCTTATTTTCTCTGTTTGTTTCTTCTTTTTTTCTTTTCCCTTTGACCTTAATCGTTTTGGTCAGTTTCCTAACAGTAGTCTCCTTGTGAGAAGCAGTGGAGTAAAGGCCAAAATCACTGTTGCAAAGAAGCTATTATAGGTTCTTCACAGCCCATTCCACAGTATACTGAGCCTAAAATCTTATATCAGACCTAGCTGATATATAGGATTTATAGCTATATAGGAAATTTTTGCCAAGCCGTAGGCAGGAAGGCCTATTTCTATGTGGTTTTTTAAATGTTTGATTTTTTTTTTTTTTTTACTTCTTCCCTCTTCCAACCTGTGTAACTGATGTTAGAGCCTATACTATACTTCTACATTTTGCCTTAGAGAACTACCTTCTTTTATTTGAAAGCCAATCTGTGACACCTTTATTAGGTACCGTGATTTGTACAGTTCAATTCAGTTGCTCATTTGTGTCTGTCTCTTTGTGACTCCATGGACTGCAGCATGCCAGGCCTCCCTGTCCATCACCAACTCCCAGAGTTTACCCAAAGTCATGTCCATCAAGTCTGATGCCATCCGACCATCTCATCCTCTGTTGTCCCCTTCTCCCACCTTCAATCATTCCCAGCATCAGGGTCTTTTCCGTAAGTCCGTTCTTCGCATCAAGTGGCCAAAGAATTAGAGTTTCAGCTTCAACATCAATCCTTCCAATGAATATTCAGGACTGATTTCCTTGAGAATGGACTGGTTGAATCTCCTTGCAGTCCAAGGGACTCTCAAGAGTCTTCTCCAACACCACAGTTCAAAAGCATCAATTCTTAGGTGCTCAGCTTTCTTTATACTCCAATCTCACATCCATACATGACCACTGGAAAGACCATAGCTTTGACTAGATGGACCTTTGTTGGCAGAGTAATGGCTCTGCTTTTTAATATGCTGTCTAGGTTGGTCATAACTTTTCTTCTAAGGAGTAAGCGTCTTTTAATTTCATGACTGTAGTCACCATCTGCAGTGATTTTGGAACCCAAAAAAATTAAGTCTGTCACTGTTTCCACTGTTTCCCCAACTATTTGCCCATGAAGTGATGGGACCAGATGCCATGATCTTAGTTTTTTGAATGTTGAGTCGTAAGCCAACTTTTTCACTCTCCTCTTTCACTTTCATCAAGAAGCTCTTTAGTTCTTCTTCGCTTTCTGCCATAAGGGTGGTGTCATCTGCATACGTGAGGTTATTGATATTTCTCCCAGCAATCTTGATTCCAGCTTGTGCTTCATCTAGTCCAGCATTTCTCATGATGTACTCTGAATATAAGTGGCAGGGTGAGAATATAAAGCCTTGAGGTATTCCTTTTCCTATTTGGAACCAGTCTGTTGTTTCATGTCCAGTTCTAAATGTTGCTTCCTGACCTGCGTACAGGTTTCTCAAGAGGCAAGTCAGGTGGTCTGGTGTTCCCATCTCTTTTAAGATTTATCCAAGTTAGTATTAAAATATTTCAGTGTATTTTACATATCCTTCTTTGGAGTATGTGAAGGATTTTGAAATTATAAAATAATTTCATCAAGGTTTCTTAAGCTATGTAGTCTTACATGCAAATAATTAGATTCTCAAATCTTTTTTCATAGAGCTTATGATGTACTAGAAAAAAATGCAAAGCTGAAGTCAAAAAACATAGACTCTTATTAATGTTGACCTTGTGACCAAAATAGATTAATAAAGACCAGACTTGTCATCATGCCTGAAACAACTAAAAAACGGGACAAAATATTATGAAACATCACATAATAAGGGACATATCACATACCTTCAAGCATCACATAATAAAGGACAGCGATTCCTGAGTTATGCAAAATAAGCAAAGTAAACCCTATAATTTCCCTAGCTTACTGCATGTGAAATATCCAGGCCATAGTGCAGGTAGGAAGGACCCAGGATAAGACAATCTTAGGAGACAGAGCTAGGAATGTAGAATTATGACCTCCTTATTGTCTTTATCTGGAGCCAGTTATCATTTAAGGAGATATGTATGGGTGCCAAGTAAGCAAGGGGAGGACTTGTGATCTTTAATTATATATGTCAGCTTGACCAGGCCACAGGGTTCCCAGATATTTGATCAGATATTATTCTGAGTGTTTTCTGTGAAAATATTTTTGGATGAGATTAACAGTTAAATTTGTAGAATGAGTGAAGCAGTTTGCCCTACCTAGTGTGGGTGGGCCTCATCCAATCAGTTGAAGGCCTACATAGAACAAAACAGCTAACTCTCCCCTGTGTAAGAAAGAATTCTTCCTGGTCTGCCTTTGAAGTTGAACATCAACTTTTATTTGCCGTCTGGTTCAGTCTGAAATACCAGCTTTTCCTGAGTCCTGAGTCTGCTATCCTTTGGATTAGAATTACACCACTGGTTCTCCTGGTTCAGAAGCCTTCAAATTTGGACAGAAATTACACTATCAACTTTCTTGTGTCTCTAGCTTGCTCTGCATATTTGGGGACTTGTCAGTCTCCATAATCATATGAGCCAGTTCCTTATAGTAAATTTTATTAGAGAGATGTATGTGTATGCATATATTCATGTATATATATGTGTATACACACACACACACACATCCTATTTGTAGTGTTTCTCTGGAGAACTCTAGTACAATTTTACCGAAAATATAAAGATTATGTTTAAAACCAAAGAAGGCATTTCACATTTATTAACCTACATTGAATGATTTTATCACCTCACATCTTATATCTTGACCAGTTTTCCAGACAGTACACTGATCTCTTCCCACTTTTTGCACTCAGATTTCTAAAAATATTTTTTAAAACTATGTATCTTCTTATATAATAAGGTATGAAAAAAATTTAGTTATGATATTATTTAGTTGCAATGAATGTTATTGTGAATACTGCCTTTTTACTTAAAGACATTTATATCAGTCTTATGCATGTATTCAACTGAATCTAAATAATAGCAGTTTGATATCACTACTATTATATTAGAAGTATATACATATGCAAACTCTTTTTTAACAACTGGAAATGTTACATCAATCATTTTTTCCTTAAATTCATATTTTTTTCACTCATTCCTCATAGAGTTTTGTCAGAATGTTATATGTTTTATATTCAGCATATTTAGTAATAACCTTATGATAGTTTTTCTATAACAAAACTTTATATTTAAATTTATTTTACAATCTTCTTGTCTCAAAAGAGTCTAAGTTTTAAGCACATTTCTTCTTGTTTCAATCACCATTACAATTACTACTGCATGCAATATATCAATAGACCTAAAAATGTTTGTACTAAATTGCTTCATAAAGATGTATCAGTACATGAATATTGCTAGAATTTCATGGACAGAATTTAGCATCAACTCTATTCATATTTTCCACTTTTGCAGATGTGAGCAGTTCATAGTTAAATAAAGAATAGAGAGAGTTATGTTATTGTATTGTTATTTGGTCATTAAGTTGTGTCCCAATTCTTTGCGATCCCTGTGAACTGAAGCTTGACACGCTCCTCTGTCCATGGGATTTTCCAGGAAGAATATTGGAGTGGGTCACCATTTCTTTCTCCAAGGGATCATCCCATCCCAGGGATCAAACCCACGTCTTCTACATTGCAGGTGGATTCTTTACCACTGAGCCACCCTGTCCCTCAAATTATCCTTTTACTTTTTCTGAGTAATACACAAAAAAGAAATCACACTATGTCCATCAACATATATTATTTTAAGTTCTTTGTCTAATTTATTAGGTCCACATAAAATTTTGCTGAAAACAAATGAAGAAAGAGTTGTTTCTCCAGTCATTAGAACATTCATATTTTCTATACCAAATAAATATTTTAAATTGTCTTTTTGTTT